GAGGTACTTACTGCAATATTGTTTTTATAAACTAGGAAAAATGTCCATTTCCTTATCTGTAAAATGGGTATAATAATATAATGGAACGGAAGGCTTAAAGGATACAATATGTGGAAAGCCCTTAGTACAATGCCTAGCACGTAGTAATCACTGACTTGGGGTGCCCTAACCTAATTAATTATAGATGTAGAGAAGTGCTTTAACACGATCTCATTTGACTTTGTTGTTTCAGGCTGGTGCGTGGAAGGCAAAGCATTATTTTACACATGAATTGGTTCAATTATTTCATTTGTACGAAACCCACATGAATGAGATTGCTCGAGAAAGCAAACACACATGCCTTTGTGGGTTTTCTTCTTTTGCTCCACCAGGTTTGTGGGCTTTCCTGCCATCTGGGTCTCTAACAGTGCCTACCCTGTGGCACCCCACTCTGCAGGCCTGGACCACCTCTAATTACCAAGATCTTTCTCCTCTCTCTTTTTCTCCTTTTCTTTCACTTTCAGCTTATGATCTCCTCTCTCACCTTCTGGGAAATAAAGTCCATCAGGCCATAAGGACCTTTATTTTTCTGCTTCTGTACTCTTCCTTTGCTGTTTCTACCCCCACCCCATCTCAGAGGGAATAAGAAAGTGCTTTTCTTTGTTGCTACGATGGATTCTTCCGCTTGTGTTTATTATCCCCTCTTCCCTCCCATCTCCTCAGGAACCTTGCTGCTCCATCGGTTAAGCCCCCTTTTTTCTTGTTACTTTCCTGTCCCCCCACCCCTTCTGTCTCTTAGGATATAATCCTACTCAGTCCTCTTAAAAACAAAGGCTCTTTCTCTGTTCTGGTTTGCTTTCAACTCCTCCCTGCCAAGTGTCATGGCCCAACTGCTTGAAAGCCTTTCCACCACATTTGGTTCCCAAATGCCAGTCTGTGGACCGACTTCTAGCAATCACCTAAACCAAAGAATCTCTTGTTTTTAAAAATGTCCCTTAGGTGATGCGGAGTGCAGCTGGCTTAGGGACCTGCCTTCTTTGAGTTCTCATCTCTGTTTGTTCCTTGGCGGGCTGAGTTTGATTTCTGTCTCCAGTACCGCACTGGTACTGATCTAGCCAGGAGCACCAAGGGTGCTCTTAATTTAAAAAAACCTCATGGAGACTCTAATTTCTAATTTATTTAAACTCTTTGTAATATGGTAACTATTAAGTACTTTGTCCTTCAAATTCCACCTCTCTGGATTTCCAGGTCCTCCCCTCACCCCACGTTTTTCTACCATCGATATTCTATCTAGGTCCCATCCCTGTACCTACCCAACCATAGTCTTGGGTGAAAGTCCTCACATTTCCACATTTAAGGGTTCGTCATTGCTTGTGCTGGTGATTTCTGAAATCTGTATCTCTAGCCCATATTCCTGAATCCCAGAACCACGCATTCTACTGTATGCTTGATCTTTCTCTCTAGATGGGCCACAAGTAGATCTCAAATCCAGTAGGTTCAAAGCCAAACTTCTGCTCATTCTGATGCTCTTAATGGCCATCCTCCTGTACTATTGCTCCTTGCCTCACTCATCTTTCATTGATATAGTCTACCTCCTATTACTTCTTTTTCCCCCCTCTATTATTGCTGTTCCCTGCATTTTTCTAGAGTTTGCCCATCCTTCTCTGTCCCCGTTGCCTTAATTTGGGACTCATAATTTATGGCCTGGATTATTGTGAGAACCACTCCACTGGTTTTTATATTTGTGGTCCTTCCTGCAGTTTATTCTCCACATTGCTTTCAGAGTGAGCTGCTTACTCTCCTGCTTAAAATAACATAATGGCTCATCGTTGCCTTTAATGAAGTCCAAACTCCTTTACTTGGCATATAAATTCCTCTCTCACCACCCCCTTCCCATTTCTTCCACCTTATCTTCACTACAAACACCTTTCAATTTATCCATGAGCTTCTCGGAGTTCCCTAAACAGGCTTAATCTCTCATGCCTTTGTTTACTGAAAATATTGTAAGTTATGGGAATATCCCTTCCCTGTAGGTCCCTACTATAGCCCATCATTGCCTTTGTGCAAATTAGAAGCAGATTCTTCATGCAGCCAGTCATTTCTGTGGGTGCTCAGGTTGGTGACTGATAGTACTTTTCTGGGACAGAGAAAAAGATACCTGCGCTGTGCTGAGACACCCCGTGCTGGGATATAGGGCTTGGTGAGCTGAATGCCAGCCCTCCTTTAGCCTCCCCAACCCCTTTCCTGGCCCCCCTGAGTAGTGAGCAACCTGTGTAATGGAGTGAAGTAGCCCTGCTCCCATCAGCTCCTCCTGCTGGAAAACTTGCTAAGATTGATCTCTGTTTCGAATTTAGACCATGGTTCTTATCCTTAAATTTGGTCATCAGCCCCTTGGTGAATCTGAAGAAAGCTATGGATGAACCCACTCTCTGTAAAAATGAGCATCCTCTTAACATAGAGCTTACTCACGAACCCAAGGTTAGAAACCACATTCTGAATGTTAATCAACTTGGCTCCCGTGCCCAGGATGGGGTCTGCCACTTAGTGGACACTAGATTAATGTTTGTGGAACTGTTGGAAGCACTACTTTATGCTTTTTCTCTGGTCATATTGTTTGCAAACCTCTATCCCCCCACATATTTTATACACTGCCATCATTTCTTTCTTGTCTGTGTTCCCAGCTAGCCTCTGAAATTTTCCAGAGGAGGCACTGCTCCGTGCGTATCTGTATTCTCAGCATCTAACATAGTACCAAGCTTATAATAGGCATTTGATAAATGTTTGAACAAATGAGATTCAGTAATATTAAATGATTTGCTTAAGGTTACTCAGTGGTGGTGGATCTGGAGCTGGTTACATAATTTTTTCTTTTAGACCCCATGCTCTTAGATATTTAATTATTTAATTAGAGTGTGTGTGCATGTGCGAGCAGGGTGGGGACGGGCAGAGGGAGAGAGAGAATCTTAAGCAAATTCAACACCCAGCATGGAGCCCCATGCTCAGTCTCATGACCCTGAGATCATGACCTGAGCCGAAACCAAGAGTTGAACACCAATAAACTGAGCCACCCAGGTGCCCCTAAACATTTTACATTTCTATATATATACACACACATTTTATATATAATATAAAGTATGGTTTGGTTGGATGACTCCTTAATTCTCTGTTAATTGGAAAGAAATAAATAGTATGACTAAATGTAAGTATTCAGATTAGCATAATAAACAGTTCCTACATTGATAGGTATTGAATATAATTTCTTAAATACTCTTATTTTGCAAAATACTTCTCCGTCAACTTCTGAGGGATAAACAGACTTTTTGGACAGAATTTAGCTACTGAGTAACTTTTTCATGAGTTGAATTCAATGATAATCTATTAGTGAAGAGATCAAAACTGGGTTTCCAATTTTTGACCTTGCTAAAGGAACCCAGCCCTGGTCTCCAGATGCTTGTGTGGTTTTCTCGCTATTTTCAAAGTAGCATTCCTTACAGTGGTTTAATGAATCCCTACTGCTTGCTTGCTGTCTTTTACTGCCCCCCCCCCACTTTTTTCCAGAGATGTAGGGGCTCATTACAATTGATCATGTTGGTCTCATGAATCAGGATTTTTTTTCCTAGGTTGAGAGCCTGTTGATTTGGTTTCACAATTCTCTATTAGTTTACTTCCTAGAACTTGTTTCATGAATAATCCAATTGCTTTGTATTATAATTGATTCCTTTTGTAATAAACCTCCTTTGTTTTTTTCTGAAACTAAAACCTTCATTTTACTTTTTTTCTTTTAAGATTTTATTTACTTATTTGACAGAGAGCGTGCACGAGTGCACACACAAGCAGGGGGAAGCAGCAGGCAGAGGGAGAAGCAGGCTCCCCGCGGAGCAGGGAGCCCGATGCGGGACTTTATCCCAACTCTGGGATCATGACCTGAGCTGAAGGCAGACGCCCAACTGACTGAGCCACCCAGGCGCCCCTCCATTTTACTTTTCAAAATAGGACTAGTAAGTGGTTCTGTGTGAATGAAGACTTTCATGGAAATGAACAACATGAACAGTTTTTCCCTTTCTTCAAAAGGTGGAGCCAACCTTATGTCAGGGTTTAGAAGTGATGACTTCCATTATTCCCTTTTCACAGGTCTTCCTGCGAGGCAAATCCAGTTCTTTCATTAAAGCAAACCCAGCTGCTTTCTGTCTCCCTTGGATTCATTGAAAACTTCAAGTCTCCCCTGTGTTGTAGCACTTGTTTTAACTCCATATTAAACTTGTTTTCTAGGAACTTCACTTGTTTTTCATAGGCAAGTTTAAAAAAAAAAAAATGACAGTTATGTCATAGTGAACAAAAAGCTCCAGGGTTATTTAAGTTGGATTAAAATATGCCAGAGCCTTGGTGACAGTAATATCAAATACGAAGTCCTCTGTTTCTAGATTCGCCAAACAACTAATTAAAAAAATAATTTATTCCATTCCATTTTTTATGACATTTGCTGTTCAGTCTCTCAACAGCTTTAAGTATCTGATTCTAAGGAGGGAGTTGAGTCGGCTTATTGAAAATCTTTTTCTTAATGCTTTAATGGAATGTGGGTGGGTTGTGTGTGTATATATATATATATATGTATACACATACACACATATATAATTTTTTATGAACTACTTAACCATTTCTTATAATTTTCATTCAACATACTTGGTGTGGAAATTTCATATTTCCCTTAAACCATCTTGAAAACACTTCTTAAAATATAAATGCTGCCATCATTTGAACTACAGAATAAAAATGTGAATACTGATTCTGTGATTATACCAATCAAGTTGGGAGAGGGGAGCCATGGCAGGAATCTGGGGCTCCTGGCTTTCATTAAACAGTACCCATGGGTTGAGAGGGCACATCTTGGAAGCCCTGCTAGGTACCATCTTGGACTACTGGGGCCACTTGAACCTAAGGATTTTGGACCTTGGGTAAGTTTAACACTATGATTCTGCTTAAAGCTTCCCTAATAGGTGACATTTTGATTTTTGCAATTTCAGAGCAATAAACTAGAGGAGAAAAAAAGACTTCAAGAAAACCTCAGAAGAGAAGCATTTAGAGAGCACCAGCAATAGTAAGTTTGTATCTTCAGAACTTTGTACCTTTATAGGCATATTGTTCATACTGCTTTTAAGTTCTAGGTGCTGGTAACTGTTTAAGACCACTGGTATTGGATTATTGGCTGTTACATTAATTATGTAATTAAACTCTGTCATTATGAAAGTGAGGTTCTGAGGTTCACAGAGTATTCTTTAGTAGTCAATCGATTTGAAATAATACTGCTAGGGGCGCCTGGGTTGCTCAGTCATTAAGCGTCTGCCTTCAGCTCAGGTCATGATCCCAGGGTCCTGGGATCGAGTCCCACATTGGGCTCCCTGCTCAGCGGGAAGCCTGCTTCTCCCTCTCCTACTCCCCCTACTCGTGTTCCCTCTCTCGCTGTGTCTCTGTGAAATAAATAAATACAATCTTAAAAAAAAAAAGGAAGTAATACTGCTAAATTTGAGAAATTCCCCATTCTAAATAACTAGGAGGGCTGATTCTTTGGTGATCCAAGGTACTTCTGATAATGTCGACTTTCAAAACACTGATATAAAGAAGATGATATTTGAAAAGAAGGACCCAAGCAGAATCTAAACTAACTAGGGGTTTATCTAATGGACTGGGGACTAGTCACACTTGTATTTTTGTAGACAAAAATTGAGAAATAATTTAGCAATTATTGGCAAAATTCCCAATTGGTGGTCATCCACCAAGGTACTTTTTCTAGTAGGACTTGTGAATATCAGCAGCTAATATGTATAGGGCAACTACTATGTGCTGTATTGTAGGTAATCTACTCTGTTATATAGGCTTTAAAGATAGGCTCCTGTCCTAACTCTAAGTAGCTAGATTACCTGTAAGCTGCTTAATAGAATAGAAAAAGCCAAAACCCATATTTTTTATTATAACTTAGGAATATATATATATATATAACCTAGAAATTAACCTAGGTTAATTCCAAATTTGGTAGAATTAAAACCAAGCATATCTGGATTCAAAGTCCTAGCTCCCTTCCCCAACTGTGACCTCAGACAGAGTACGAAACCTCTTTTTTTTTTTTTAATAGGGATGACAGTATCTCTCCCATAGGCCATTTGTAAGGCTTAAATAAAATATTTCACATAAATGGCATACAAGTGCCTGAATTTTATGGAAATGGAACTATGGACAGAGGTCCTTGCTGAGTGCATCAGACAACTTCTGTTTTGTAGTCACTATTATGTAGAGACTATTATGGTCCCACCCAGAACTGGCAATTGGCCTCCACTTTCAGGTGGGTTGTTATCTGACTGCCTCCTCTCCTCTCTTCCCATTGTTGTACCTCATTTTTAGAATTTAAGATCATTCTCATATTGGGGTGAGCGTATGTGACACCCTAAAGTATGTTGCGTCCTCTGGTTTTCTCATTTCACGGCAATTATCCTGCCTCATCCTAAGCAGCTCTTTCTTGCTTTAAGTCTCCGAGGGAAGGAGTGGGAAGGAGTTTCTCAATGCTTTACTTTGCCTCTTAGCAAGTGAGGTACTTGGTTGTCTTCTGCTACCCAGGTGAGAAAAATGGGAGATGGAACGGGTTGGGTAGACGTGCCAATGAGTGACGTTATCTTTCTTAAGTTAAAATAGATGTTGCCCTCATTTGAGTCATAGAATCCATAGCCTGCTTTTCCCTGCGGTTCTTCTAAAACTGGTATGGGGCTGAGGGAGCTGGTGGGAAGCTAAGGAGAAGCAGTCTTAGAGAGAGAGATGGCAGAAGAGAGGCAGTAGATCAAGGGTGTTAATATATTATTGCCTTTCCGTTCATTGGTATAGGATGGATGGAAGTATTTCTAGGCCAGCCAGAGGAGTTGAAGGAGACAAGGGGATGCCATGGGGACAGCAGTAGGCTAGAGAGACAATAAAGACAAATGTATTTATCCTGTGTCATTCTAGCTTCACTGGAAAAGTAAAGAGCTGCTTACCAATGAAGGGTCTTAGGTATAGGACTAGGAATTTGAACAAGCCCATTTACTGGAGTCTTTTAAGCATGGTAAGGTGAAGGATGAGAGATTCTTAGAGTCTAAAGGACATGGGAGGTTATGTCACCCACGTGCCTTTCTTTCATAGTCTCCAGCTTCTTGAGTTGTGTTTTACTAAATACTAGAGATCAAGCACCCTTTTCTCTGAAAGAAAAAAAAAAAAGAGTTTTACCCTCAACCACCTCCTATACCATCAGGGGAGATTAATTCAATTACACACACATTTCACTCTTGCTCTTTCTTCTACTTATCATGAAAGTCCCAGTTAACCAGGAAAAAGGAGTTGACTAAAAATGAGAAGTATCTCAAATTGATTTTTAAAGCCTATTGAGGAACATAAAATATATGTGAGTTTTTTTAAAGATTATTTTGTTTTGAATTACTTTTGAAATTAAAAGACAAATAGCTCATGAAATGAATGATCATTATATAGCTAGAAATATGAAAGGGACTTCTTGGAAAACATGGATCCTCGGCATAACAAGCCTCTATCATACCTTCTTATAGTTGGTTTATGGTTCAAAAATTGTCTAGGGGAGCTGTTAGAATTCTAATAGCACAAAGATTTCACCAGCCTATTTCACATTCTCCAATGCCCCCTTCCCCCACCAAAAGAATTAGATTCTCCTGAAGCTGTCAAACCAAGTAACACAAAATAGAAACACAAGTAAGAAATTCTTTCAAACTAGTCAATACCTCACGTCCTTGCTAGTTTCAGCATGCTGTGATATGTGGTTCAAATAGCAGACCAGGAATGGTGTTTTTTTGTTTGTTTGTTTGTTTGTTTGTTTGTTTTGTGCAGAAGAGCATCCATGGACTTGAGCAGACTGTAAATCCAAGCTGCTGGAGAAAAAGCTCATGATAGCATCCGGGGGCACCACCATGAGAATCTTAATGTGCTCTTTCTTAACACCTTATTCCTGACTTCGTTCATTTGCTTCTGATTATTTTTAGTGTTGTCAATTATTTAGCTAACAGGCAGAAAACTAGGCTTTTATTGACATCCAAAGGGACTCTCCTGAGTGTAATAATGAAGGCAGTTTATTGAATGCCTGTGAGGTTGCTTTCTAATTGTACGCATTAATCTGCCCATGCAAGCTGGCTGGAAATACACAGCAGATTGCGTGTGCAGATGGAGCACACAGGATGGCTTTTATGAAAAGACCTCTGGAATGTACTTCTGCAGTACTGTCTTTTCCTTAAAAATCGAATGACTGTGACTATTTCAATTGGCAGCTGAGAGCAGACCAGATTAATGGTGCATTAAGTCTGCTACTCTGGCTGGGGACAGATTCATTTCACAATTTAGAATTAGTTCTAGGATTCTTGAGCATGAAAGCAGAGGGTAGAAATAGGCCTCTAACCCTGGTGTAGTTTTCACCATTATTTTTACTCTCTGTACTTATAAAATGTGGCCTTTTCTATTAATGGTCTTTTCTATTAATATTACTGGTGGATTTGAGCATTTGAAGTAATAGTTAATGAACCTTTGGCTGTGCTTTTAAAAAAAAAATCAAAGGGAGGATGTTGGGATTTAGGTGATTTAAAACACTTGAGTAAAATCTCAGCATTTAGAATTTTGAATGGTAGCTTATTTTGAGGGTTGTAGTCATCTTTCTAATAATGTCTTTTGGATAGATGGAGAGATAGGTTTGAATTTTGAGCCTATTTAATCGGTGGCGGGGGGGCGGCTCACGTAGGATGGGAGTAAACAGATGCGTTTCTTCCTACCAAGATCTAAATTTTGCCTAGAGTAGGTGAAAGAAGAATTGAGGAAGTATGTGTGCTTCCTCTGATTTTCATCGTATATGAATGCCATCCTCTTCCAGGTCTGACATTGAGTTAGTTCCGCAGTTAAACTTACTGTAGGGTCTGTGGGCTTTTGTGACCTCTCTGGGCTGTACTCTATTCCTAGATACTGTTTCTAATATTTCTAGGGGAGAAGGGGCTCAATTCTTGAAACCCCAGTTGAAAAAGCTCTTGCAACCATGTTCATTCCAAAACAGGACCTTCCTGTTCCTAAAGTGCCAAGCACCACCTTCAGCTCAGCCTTTCATTTGCAAGGTTGGGAAGTTTACTCCGTTTCCACCATCAGAACCATGCGTCTCTTTTCCATTTAAATAATAGTATGATTAGTTCCTCGGGGGCACATTTTCATCTATTTTAGTTTCTTAGAGTGGAGGACCCAGGCAGGTCGCTGAATATGCACACTTAGGCCCAAGTTTGCCTTCTAATACGCTCACAAAACTTCTAATGCCCTTCATGGGAGCTTCCAAAAGACACTTAAGGGCTAAATCGATCCCTTATCCATACAGTAGGATTAAATCCAACTTCACATTTTATAATCCAAGTAAGGTGAATCCAAAGTCATCCTATTCATAACTTTCTGTCTTATGCTAATGAAGTGGACTTATAGATAGAAAAATCCCCTATTTTGTTCAGAATAAGACTGAATATTTTATGGGAAATCTGATCTGGGAGAATCCCTGCCTAGTGAATGTTAAATTGTGCTGATGGTTAAGACCGTATCAAAATCTCTACCCACTATTGATTCTTTCGGCAGATGTCCTGGTGCACGTTAACTCATTTTCATTCCCACTGCTACCACCTTCATGTAGGTATTTATCACATGCCACCTGCATTATGGCTTCTGTCTCCTTGCTGCCCCCTGGACTACTGGGACGGCTTCATTACCATCTTTGCCCACTGTCTTTTTCTTTTGGTTACCTCACGTGTTTTGTCGATTTCATTTTCTAAAGCCCAACTTTAGTCATGTCTCTACCCTCTTCTAAAACCCTCAGTTATTTCCCATTTCTTATCAGATGAATTCCAAACTCCTTAACCATACCGTGGGGGAACTGTGGCCACCTTGGTAAGAAGATATCAGACCATGCTAGGATTTGGGTCTGTGTCAGGTGATTGGAGGAGGCTTTGAGGAAGCAGGGCTTTGTTCTGGGTTGAATGGAGGCAGGAGTGATTGTGATTAGGTATCTTAATCTTTTTTTTTTTTTTTTAAGACTTT